AGCACCTATTCGGCTATGACTTAAGAGTCGTATTACACCATTTGAACCATCGAACAAGCACTCAAGAGGGAGAACAAAGAGATCAGGAGAGAGATCTCGCATGTGCTGTAACCGATTGAAAGAAGGAAGAAGAAGGAATAAGTGAACATGCGACATTTCTGTCGTCCTAGTTGAGTGAAGAAGAAGTCATAGGAAGAAAAATAAGGAGGAGAAATCAAAGGAAGAAGTTATGGTTATTGTGCAGTGTTGAGCCGTGCGAGGGAAGAGGTGATGTCGAGGGCTTACCTGATTTGAGCTGCCATCGAAGACGCGTTGCCTTCCCATGAGGAGAAAGAAGAGCTGAGCAAGAAGAAGAGGGAAGGGAAGATTTGCGGTGCTCGTGTGGCTGAAGTAGAGGAGAAGAAGCTCGCCTACTGCAGGAGGAGGTGGCGAGTGCTTGCTGGTCGAGTCGAGACCGAAGAGGAGTGAGAAGGGCAACCTTGTCGTGCTCTTGTACAGAAGAAGGAGAGGCAGTCATGAGAGAGAGAAAAGTATTCAAACTGAGATCGAAGAGGGGTGAAGGAAGAGGACCTTCGTGCGTAAGTTATGGCAACCAATCGAGAGATTTATTATCTGTTTGGGGTAGTTACAGCTTAATAATAAACTACCGCGCATCAGTTGCCACAGGAAACTGTTGCGTAGAAGCTATTGTGAATAAGTTGACTGTTTATTTATTTTTTGCAGTTTGAAAAAAGTTGTGCTGCAGCGTCTTCGGGTCAATGTCTCCATGATACACTCATTTTCATTTGTGTTGTATGTCTTGCATACGTCATTCGACACTGCCGACACATCCATTATTAGTATACGCACTGTATGCTAGTGGTGAATGTTTGCCTTTTTTCAATCATTGTGCATTTATATGTGCATTTCTCTAATTTTTTTGATGGTGAATCTAGTTAGCTGAATGAATCATTGCTGGTCATGACGCGGTAGTGAGTATTGCGCATTGGGATGCCTTAGTGGGGGCAAATGCTAGCTATCACGTAGTGATTAGCATGCTTATGTTGTGTTAAGGTTCCAAGAGGTCTAATAGGTGCCACTTAGACATTCTATTTCTTAGGAGCTATTTTGAAAAGTATAAAAAAATATATTTTTTTATTACTTATACACATCATATTTTCAAAATCTACTTTGAAGTTACTCACACATTTAGCTTAGACTGTACATGAGGTTAATTTTTCAAAAGCTTTTCAAAACCTGCATCTAGTGACACTTCTTAGAATCCTTGGATTCTTAGGATGGGGCTGGGGATAACATCCCCATAAAAATAGGATGTAGCCAGTGACGACGACCCTATCAAAACATACGCTACTCTTTTGACATAACCCCACACTCACTTAGATGTTGTGTTAGGGCATTATGTTATATGATGTGCTAGGATAAGGACTAGGATGCAAGGTACTCTTTTTTTTTTTCCTGATTATAGTTCTCTGCTGGTTTAGTTTCTTAACCAGGCATCACCTTTTGTGCTTTTTGTCTGCTTGCATGCTTACTGTTTTGATATGTATAATAGTATATTAGGTCGGTCTTCTTGTGAGGAGCCATGCCTAAAATACACAACACTCGTGTAACAGGGGGGGAGCAATGTAATGATTTAAATGTTAATCATTTCTTGCAGGCGTTGCTTAACCCTTGCTTCCAGACATGGCTCATATGCACCGTATGTTTGTTGGCTTTTCTGTTAACACTGTTTTCATGCAGGTCGAGTCTTTTCATACTTTTTATGTACTTTATAAAGTCCTATGAGAGTATTATATTAGAAATAAGGTACAAACATGAGTTCCGAGGTGCTAGACAAGCGAAATCACATGATGGGGACCAGAAGTTGTTTGCTCGTGTCCCTTACTAAAATTCTAAATCTCATTTATGATTATAATTAGGACCGGGCCTGTACTTATGTGGTGCCTGACCGCCTTTTTTCTGATTCTAAGATATGTTGTCGAGCCAGTAACACCAATATTTTATTCTTTCATATTTGACTTGCTTTACTATCTTACTTGCGTGCTTGTGTGCTTGAATTAATTTTCAACATTTTTTTTACAGTTTGGATTGTCTTGGAATCATGCAAATCATTTAGGCTCTCTAAGTACCTAAAATTGTAAATTTTTTTACAAAATTCTAATAAATTTTAAAACTAATTAAAATTGGAATAAAACATTCAAGATTTTAAAATATATCTTTTACTTTGGTGCATGGCCTTCGGTGCGGTTTAAAAACACGTTGCATAACATGGACATACCAAAGTCATACTAATAAGGTCTCCACGCTTAGGATTGTAATAGATAACTGCATCATATGTATGTCCCAAGGGGAATCCCCAATGCTTCTCCAACTCGACTAGCCCATCATAGATTTCTACTTAGGTGGCTATCTAATGCACTTAGGTCGTTAGAAGACTCATCGACCAAGACGAGGTGTAAGTTCTTTTGTCGGGAGCATTTCTAGCTTTGTAGCTGAACCTTCCTTCCTCTTCCTTTCCAGTAGCATCCTCGCCATTTTGACTAGTATAATTCCCACCTCTTAGAGCTCCACCTAATTGTCATAGAATATTTTATTCATTTTACCTTGGAACTACTGAGGTTCCCGCATATTACACAATTTACGGATTGCTGACAGAGGATCTCAAGACTTGTTATGCAACCACCTTCACGACTAGGTAGAATTAAGGTCATAATAGTTTGGGATGACAGGCCCGTGATAGCACGACCAGACTACCTCTACCTATTAGAGATTATCCTTCATTCCTTTGACTACCACTTTGAGCTTTGACACTCCTCTTGTTGTTCTTGATATCACCTTGAATACCCGATTACCAATGAGCAGCCGCCCATTTGAGATACGATGATTTGTTATCCGCTCTTATAGCCTGAATGTGCTTTGACGTATTGGGATTCCCCATCGTGATGATTCAATTATTTCATAGGCTCCGTATGCTGATGAGTCTGTTACCCATGTGGACTGTGAGAGACTCACTCTCTGTCTCGTGGCTTAGTAGTAGCTTTGAAAGTATCAGAGTGTTCCCATGTGAAATAATTGTCCCTTGTTATCCCGATGCTAGTTGTCGCTACTAATATAAACAAAACTTCTTTGGATCAAGAGTATTATTGTGCAACCCTCAAGTTGTAATTAACAAAGTGGGATACGCCCCCTTGGGAGCACTCCAGACTCCATAACATGCAAACACATCTAAGAGGTTTATTCTTGCGAGGTTTATCGTACGTAGGCTCTCCATATTCTCATTCTCTTTGTTTGTCTTCTTTGTTTTATGTCCCTGCTTTTCTTGTTCTCTTTTCTCCAGTCCAATCTTATAATTTGGAAGAGAAACTTATTCAAAAAGAGAATTATACGATGATAGACAAACTGACGACTTCTTCAAAAATAAAAGTAAGAGAAAAAAAAACAGTAACATGGGGTAGGCTATCACATTGAGACGACTTTCCTGTAGCAGTTTGCTCATATGCTCTTTCATCTCATTTTTGGTCGGATGACTCATGCTTGGATCATTTGATTGTCTTCTTGTATGCCTAGGTGACCAATCTTGAAAGAAGTGAATGATAAATCAATAGAAGTAGTAGGTAAAACTTATAACATTTCCTAAATTTTATGACATGTGCCCACAACCATCATTTTATAAGTAATTGATGACTCATCTAACAAAAATAATCTCTTGTTTTTAAGCCTTCAAAAAAGATTTCTTTGCAATCATTTGGTGGATTAAACTTGTCGAATTAACTTGTTCGGTTGGGAGTGAATGACAAATCTAAAGTGGACTTTTTCTTCACTCCATCAACTTACTACTAATCTACTATCATATCTAACATCTAAAATTTATAGAACTTTACTGTTAAAACATGCATTATTTCACTCATAAAAAGTTAATAAAAATGCATTTTTGATTTAATATCTAAGATTTGAATGATACAAATGTAGATATGAAAGTTTAGGTCTCAAAAATATAATTATATAAAAATTGTGGTACGTAGCGATCAACTCATGTTCTGCTCTTTCAATAACTCGAATTTGAATCGTTTGCTAAGCAAACGAGCCAATCACAAACAAATTTTTTGAAGTTGAATTATGAACAAGTCAAACACGAATAACTATTTGTTTGATCCGTTCGACTCGTTTTAGTTCAAAATAAAAAAGATTATATATATTATTTATCCAATAATATTTCATATATTTTTAATCAAAGTGTAAATTACCATTTTGGGTTGTCATGTAATTCTATCCTTTTATTGCATTGACATGGTGTATATTTGAATCAATCACCCATTTATTTTTCTGATTAATTTAAACTAATTAATTATAGTCGAATATGATTTAAAAAAAAACATAAATTATTTTTTTTATGAGCTGAACATGAAAGCAGCCAATTTAGAATATAAGAAAATATAAAATAGACGAATTAATGTTTAGGTCACTTAGGGTCCGTTTGGGGGCAGGCGGTGTTTTTAAAAAAACGCCGCGTATGTTTGTTTGCCAGCTTATTCAAAACTGCGTTCAGGTTTTTACACTAAACGCATGCTGCGGGTCGACTCCTGTAGTCGGCCCGCGGACCGCGTTTCAGGATAAGCAGCTTATACTGAAAACCACAAGATGTCTCAAACAGAGCCTTAAACTCGACTTCTTTTACAACAAATGCCCCAAAATACTATTTCTGCTCAAATAGTATTTCTGCTCCAATGAATTATTTTTATACGTCCTTTTGACTTATATCATGGTAGTTCTTATCCTTTACTGTTTTCTGCATGAACATATTAAGGCCTAATATTCTCTTAAATTACGAAAGATTGCAGGGTTGCTTCTGTAATAATCTCATACTCAAAGGTGCTTTACGTAATTAATCCCACCTCACTCGTTTTCATTCCAGAGACTCGGCTTCTCTCCTCCGCGAGCTCTGCGCATGAGACGAGCGAAAAAACAAAAGGAAAAATTCTCCATTACGAAAGCTAAGTTCAATGAAGAGTATTTTTCGGAAGTTCCACATCGGAGGCGGACAAGATCCTAGCCGATCTGGAGAGATTTCCTCGTCTCCGGCGGGCGCCGCCGCCGCCGCTACCGCCTTATACCCGTTTCATTCGCTTCCGATCACCGGACTTCGGCGGCGCCTCCTTCGCCGACACCACCGTCCCCAGTGGATGGGGAGAGAGTGGTGTCGGCGGCGGGGGGGGAAACCGGCTCAGTTTTGGGAGTTCCAGGTGCAGCTGGCGTTGGCGATTAGCGCGTCAAAGTCGGAGTTCAGAGAGGATCCGGATGGCGATCAAATCCGTGCCGCTAAGCTGTTAAGCTTGGGAACGCGTGACCAGGGACGACAGGAGGAGGGTGCGGCTCAGTTGCTTTCGCAGCGGTATTGGGTGAGTGTTCGTTTTCTCTAGTTGTGATGTCGGAATTTAGGGTTTTCCGATTGGTTATTTTGGTGGTTGATTGGGCAGATGAGCTGGTTCTTTAAACTTTGGTTTTAAATTGAGTGCTATGAGAATTACCTGTTTCTCATTGTTAGGGGATCATTATAGTATGAAGCACTTAAGGTAATTTACATATTCTGGAAATGCGTCGCGGTTGTTGTGTTCATCTTTGATCATTTATTACAAGTGCGTATTGTTTTTTGTTGGATTCAGCAAAACGTCGTAGAACTTAAGTTTTGAACCGTTTTCTGATGTGATAACATTCAATTTTGGATTTGTGACGGAGGTGGAGGTTAGATTGTCTCATGGTGGGTTGGTTGTTTCTAGATATTCTAATTTGCGTCATAGTTTAGAAGCCATAATTCTGATCAGCCATTTGAGGTTCATTGTGAATAATTATCCAGAACTACTATGCTTATGCTTTTTTTTTCCTTTTGGCTGTCTAGGTAGTGGATGATGGTATGCTCTGGTGTTGAAGTGTTTATAATCTCTTACAGTCAATGCTCCATGAAAATAGCGGAGCTGAGAATATTTAAATGTTATTATTTTTGTCAATCCGTGTAATCATTTTCAGAAAATCTTGTTTAGACTTAAGCTTTAAGTGTGTGAAGAGGGTGCAGTATATGAAACTTCATTTCCTTTATTTGATTGTTCTTTTGTTTGTAGGGGCATACGTAGCACACAATACTTATGTATTTACATATCTCACACCTAATCTTTCATATTTGCACATATAGCTCTCAAATGTTTAATACCACATTAAAAATTGTACTATTATCATTTTTAAAAAGTTAAATACAACTTCTCATGCATAGTTTCATAACACCAAAATGTTAGGTATGTAAATATGGAAGTTTTTGCGTGAGATCTGCAAATACATAACTACGTTTGTAAATTTCCCTTGTTTTTAATGTTAAATGTCAACTATTTGTCATTCCCAGTAAAAACAAACAGTTTTCTCTTTCACAAACTAAATGAATGTTTTTACACTGATTTTGTGTTAAAGCATATAGTTTTTTGTTCTCACCATTTTTACTTCCTAGATCTCCTGACTGATTCTGCTATACATCGTCTGAATGACTAGGACTACAATGTGCTTGATTATGATGAGAAAGTTGTGGACGGGTTCTATGACATATTTGGGCTTCCCAACAAGTTGGGAAGTCAAGGGAAGATGCCATCTCTTCATGATCTCCAAACCAGTATAGGGGATCTTGGGTTCGAAGTTATTATTGTAAATCGCACCATTGATAATGCCCTAGTGGAGTTGGAACAAGTTGCTCATTGCATTTCCTTGGACTTCCCTGCTGCAGAAGTTGTGTTTTTGGTACAAAGGGTTTCTGAGCTTGTTTCTCAGCACATGGGTGGTCCTGTAAAGGATGCAAATGAAATGCTAGTTCGGTGGATTGAAAAAAGTACGGAGTTAAGGAGCTCACTACAAACAAGCTTATTGCCCATTGGTTGCATAAATATAGGTCTCTCTCGTCATCGTGCTCTTCTATTCAAGGTTTGCTTTTCTAGTGTCATATTATTTTCTTTGAACTTCTGCAACCTTTTGAGAAGCATAATTGTCACCATCCCAAAATCTCATAACAAATGAATTTTTCATTTCTCATATATATTTGTTGATGTAACTAGGAACTTGCAATTAGTGCTCTTCAAATAGATATCTATTCATTTATTTATTTACATATATTGTGAGATGGCTATTTTGAAATTAGTTTGCATGCTTATTCTTTACATAAATTCTTAGATTATTGGGTAACAGAGCTTTGTACTTCAGCTTTTAAATACTATAAATGTCATCAAATTCTTTTACTTCTGTAGATGTAAATGTAGGCTGTACACCATGAATTCGGTGCAATAATTATTACCAATTGATTGTGTGTTCTGTAAAGATGTGTATACTTGCGATAGTTGCATTCTTGAATCCTATTCAGTTGGCGACAACTGCCTTTGATATTTTGCACATATGGCTTATTTAGAATTTTGCATTTGGAGGAGGAATTTTTTTTTCCCAGATTGGATTCTTATGATACCATGTTGGTATATGCCTTGAAAATGGTGTACACTATATGCAGTTGTTCAGTTCCTTTTCCATAATGTCAGGTCCTTGCTGATAATGTTGGCATACCTTGCAAGCTAGTCAAAGGAAGTCATTATACAGGTGTTGATGGTGATGCTGTCAACATAATAAAGTATGGTGATCATAGGTATGTGTTCCTATGAATTATATTTGTATTTTCCATCTGTTTTGATATCTTTTTTTGGAGGTTCTTTGCCTAATTACAAAATTTGCCTGAGATTTTTTTTAGTTTTATGTGTGCTATGTTATGCCTTGATGCTCTTAACTTTCCCTGCAATATAAATATGATCCTTACATAAGAAAAGAATTATATTTTCTTTCTACAATCGTTTCTTATTCATCAATTTTTATCTCTTTCAAGAGAACAAACTAATAAAAGAAAAAAAAATTCCTTGTGATATGATCCATGTAATTTAAGGCATTTGAGTTTTGTGAATTTTTGCATCATGATGAATGTTGATTTCACTTGTTTTCCTCAGGAAGAATGTGATACCAGTTTTTATTTTTAGAGTGGAAAAATTTTAAATATTTAAATAATATGTTAATTAAATCTACAATCATACATAAATGATTAAAATACATAAAATTATTGTTTTTAGCAAAAAAATAAACAATTAATAAGATAATGTCACCAAATTTATAATAAGTAAATATAAATGCATAAAAATGTAAAAATTATAAAATTTTAATTCAATTAATTAATTAATCCATTAAAAAACCTATTTAGTTTGACATTTTTAAGGGTAATGTTGAAAATTGAGAGCGGGCAAATTTATAAAAAAATAGTATCTTCTACTTGGGCTTGGCTTTATGATTCCTGTTCCCCCCTTCACAGACCTCATGAAATTGTTGATTATCAGTTGCTTTGCAATTTTATCTTGTTAACTGTAAAATTAGGAATGATGATTGAGATTACCTCTTTACTTCATATTCAAGCATTTGAAGCATTATTAATCATAATAAGGCAGTCCTTATGAAACATCTCACACCCTTCATAGAACTCTATGAAATTGTTGATTATAAATCTCCTTGAAATTGCTTCTTGTGAACTGTGAAACTGGGATTGTTATAAACATGATCACTTGACATTCAAACAATTGAATCACTGAGGGTTCTCGTAGTTTGTTAGTTATTTTGTAATATTAAAATCCTTTTCTGCCTGTTTCTCCAATAAAAAAAATAAGTGTCTAAATACATAATATAATTAAACGTACCTTTGAGCATTTGGACAGTAGAATTTTGTATAATTGGCAATGTAGCCTTTTTTTCCTTTTAATTCTATTAATTTAGGGCATTTTCTGTTAAAATTTCACATTTTCCCCTCTTCCATCTCTCCTATTTTAATTATATTCCATCTCCATGGCTCCAAAAACTGCATTACTGTTGATGATTTTGCAGCTCATATTGCCTGTATGACTTGTATAGCTTGACAGCCGATTTTCCATCAATAGCATGCATATTACCATCAATAACTTTAAAGGTGAGAGTTAACCATGTGGCTGACATTCAGTGGTTGGATTTATATATGCACTAGCCTTTAACACTGCCTCAAGTAGATTGTGCCAATTTTTCAGCATAACAAGGTGAATTCAAACTGTGGTTTATAAAAAAACTTATCAGTCTGTATCTCGATTAAAATTAGTTTAGACCAATACCAAGGCTTCATTTGGATAGTGCTTTTAGCATTTGCGTTAAATTTTTTTACCATGCAGTAGCAGGCCTTTAGATGTCTTAAAAAAGACGTGGATGCCCTTCATAGTTTATTATAATTACACTGATGTTTAATAATCATTCCATTGAAAACTCTACCCGGCTAGAAGAGTTTGTTAGGAAGGAGGGGTAGTTGAGTCCCCTCTAATAAAGAGTAAGGAAGCAGATGCGTATAAGGAAAGAAGTAAGTTGAAGATGGACAGGAGTCTTGTTATTTGTGCCTGCATTGCAGCTTGCCTTCAAGTCCTAGCATAGAATTGTACTTCCTGTAGGGTGTTGGCTTTGTCCTTGCTGTTGCGTAGCATTGCAGAATGAATGGGAGTAAATTTGATAGTTTATACTTGTTTTAGGATATTTGATCATATGATTTTTTTTTCATGGTTTTCTTTTTTATATTTTCTTTTTGTGATTTTGAATCCGTTTGTGTAATTTATCTACCTTTCATGATGTTTCTGTGGTTTCTCCATGTGGGCACCTGTTCTAATAATGAGTTAATTTCTTCCATTGAAGTTTCATGAGTGTTTTTTTGCATCTGATACACTTGTAGATGATTGATATTTTGATATAATTCTCATCTCTTTATCGAACATGATTCCCTAACTACTCATAATAAAAATGTTGTTGTTTGTAGACTGCTTGATCTTTTTGCATTTTAGTAGCCTATATAAAACTTTACAACCAAACCGTTAAAATTAACTTATGAATTAGAAATAACAGCGTAATTGTAGGTTAAAAAGCCTAAATTAACAGCTTTTCAAAATCAATTTCATCACATTTTATCCAACAACAGTTTTTCAACTGACTTAAACAATTGTTTTATCTAATGAAGCCTAACATTGTTCGCGGAGTTGGTTACAATTTATTTTCTTGAGAATGTAACCCTTAGATTTTTTAAAAAAATTTTCTAATCTATTTTATGGGGCAGAGATTGAATTTAATGCTCATTTTCCCTGTGTTTTTCCTGTATTATTGCATTAGTACCATAAAAATTAATTTTTACACTCTTAGCCATTTCTGCTATGGTGCTTCATGGCACGTCGAAGACACATCAGTGTATGTCATGCTAAGAGGATCACAGTACTACATGGCATGTCATGAACATACAGTGCTTGATTTAGCATGACATGTCATGTATAATGTTGCAGGTGGTTAGTGCGTGATGTCTGTTTGCATGTTTAAATATGACTTTGCATGTTTGTATCAAAATGCACAACGTCTTCTTTTGTCAGAGGCATTCTTATTTCTCACTATACCAGTTGAAACTCCTGTAATTGGTAACATTATGCAGGTTATGTTACAATGTTTATGGACATTTGAACTGAATATCTTCAAATTTTGATTATCACAGTTAAAAAATCAAGCATTTTTACTTTTATCTTCCTCTTTGGTTTCAGAGAATTTTTGGTTGATCTTATGGCTGCCCCTGGTACCCTTATTCCAGCAGATGTACCAATTACAGAGGATGCTTCATTGAAATCCTATAATGTAATGGTGAATCAAAACCTAATTCCTTGGAATATAAATAATTCAGGTGACTATTTTTCGAGAGGTGAAAGTGGAAATTACAACTTGGTTGGTGATAAGATGCTTGATGGAAGGCCAAGTCGTGAAAACATGGCATTGCTACCATCTTTACTAGGAGAATCATCAGCAAATGCTGCAAGCAGTTCAAGTGGAAATGCAGAAAGTCTTTATCAGCATGGAATATCTAACCAAATTTTATCTTCTACAAGTGGAGCTACAAGTTCAGGAGATTCTTTGGACTCAAGGAACCTTTTTTCTGAACTTAATCCATTTCAGGCACTTGTAGTTGGAAAGCCTTCTTCAGCTTTTAAAGCTTCTGATCATAGAACTAATGAATATCAAAGGTCAAGAGAGCCAGGTGCATCTGGACCTGGAAGACCTCATAATCAGTCACCGCTGGTTCGTAAAAGTCATTATCCATGCATTGATGTTTCAAACACAAAGCATTACAACTTTGTGGAGGGAGTCATTCCAAAGAATAATGTAGGGGATAGAGATCTTAATACGTCACCCTATGCATCCAGCTCAACTGGAAGCTCTATGTTTAATCCTATGTCTAGTTCTGGTACTGCATTCCCAGTCAGTGCTGATGATACCTCTAGAACTATTGATTGTTCTTCTGGAGCTACGAACTCATCCGTTACTTTAGGACCTTCCCAAAATGGTAAAGTAGTCAGTGTTGATCCTCCGATAAACAAAAGTTTATTCCAAATTCAATCTGAAAAACATGGTTTGCCATTGCGAAACAATGCTTCTCATGAGGCAATGGAGCGAGAAAAAAATGTCAATGCAAAGCAAGACAGGAGAAGGCGCACACATGATAGATTTATGGGCAGGAATATGGCCCCAGAAAATTCAGATCCATCGGTTTCTTACACTCAGGATAGGTTTATTGGGAAGGATATGGTGGAGAATACAAATCACCAAGCTTCTTTGCCATTATCCAGACCAAGCAGAATTGATCCAATGCTTGATGATGTAGCTGAATGGGAAATTCCTTGGGAAGATCTTGTAATTGGTGAAAGGATTGGATTAGGTAATACTAGTAACCTTTTGTATATTTAATTATCTGGAAATTTAACCAGAACTGATGGTATTTTAGATTCAAAATTCTTTTATTTATTTATTTTACCTTTTCATCTCTATTTTGAAGCATGAGGGCAGAACCAATTGCTCAAACTAGCATACAGACATGCCTTCTTCCTGGAATTGTTTGTTGCTACACTAGTTTTGCAACGCTTCTTATTCTTTTCACCTCCTTTGTCTTTTCTTTTTTCCTCTAGCACATACATGCACAGTGAGGGAGAGAGAGGAAAAGGAAGAAAAATTAAAAAAACAAGTTTTAACACTTCGTTATCTGCATCTCTATTCACTACCCAGCTTTGATCTGGGTAAAAAATTTTCACCAGCATGGCAACTCAAAATTCCCAAGAAATTTTGTTTGATCTCCTAAGGAACCTTATAAAAATTCTTTTCCTTATGAACAGGTTCATATGGAGAAGTTTATCATGCTGATTGGAACGGCACCGTGAGTATCATTTATCGTCCTATTTGTAGTTTAATTATCCTTACAACATTGCATGTTATTTCTTTCATGATAGTTCCTCGTTGAGAAAAATAATTCTGTGAATGATGAGTGAAATTGAAATGATTTATTTTAATCATTATCAATTGTTTCTGTTGAACAAACATTTTGAATAATGTAATTGTTGGTATGGCTATTTCAATTGCTTCATATCTTAAGAAACACAGTGGAATACCATATAATAAACTGAAGTTTGGCCAATTTTCGAAGCATTATTCATATTAGTTGAATTTGTTTTGCATTAAAGTTGGAGATTTGGATGTGTTGTGAATGCTTTTTTAATGTTGGCTAGTTTGGGGTAATGGATCCATTTCGAGATTGATAGTGTCCTGTCAAAAAAAAAAAACAAACAAACAAACAAAGATTAGCAGGCTAATAGGCTAATATTAGGTGTTTGCCCTAGGGAGACTATCTAACACTTAAATTAGTAGTTGGACTTGAAGGTGAAGATAATTGAAAATAATTTAACAGAATTTTTTTTTGTAAAAAATGTTCAGTCTTGTGAGGAGAGCCCTTCTTCATTGAAGGTACAAGTTTTTTTTTTTTACTTTTTTCTGGAATGGGAAGAGTGTGGGTGAAAGTTAGCTTAATATTTTTGGGGAGTGAAGGGCTGATGTGCACAGCCTTTAACCTTTGAGATTTATGTAGGTTATGGTTGGAATCGGGTTGTAAGATGGTTATGATATTGGTTTCAAGCATGATTTAAGTTTGATTATCAGATCTTGGTTGGCAACTCAAGATCTATGATTGATTTTATGAATTTGAAGGGGAAAGCCTTCACACATTGTTTATCAATCCAATGGTTGAGATTTGGAATTATTGTCACTGTCTTACTTCCAGTGCATGGAGATTGTACAAATACAAATATTGGTGCCCTTGTATTGATTGTGATTAATTGGTCATATTTTCATAGGTACACGTGAGGAACTAGGTCTTTTGCTTAATTCTTTTCTTCTTGTCATATGATGTTAATAAAGAACGCTAAATTCTTCTCCCGATCATGCCGAAAAGCAGAGAAACATGATGTAGTGCCATCTATGTTAATCGTGGAGTTTAATATCACCAATGGAAGTAGTGTTGGATCTTAATACCTGCAAACATTCTAAACATGCTGTTTTGCAATTTCATCCTAGAAGATTAAAAATAGATGGCTGTTTCTGCTTTCTTGGTGGTATTATGTAGGCTTCCCTTTGAAAGATTGTTTAATTCATACATTTGTAGTGTAATGTTTACCTGCGGATGGAGTTGTTTCCATGACATTTTCATCATGAAACAAGGATATTCATGTCAGAACATTGTTGTTCTTGTTTTAATATGATATATATGGTTTTACGTGGTTGCATTGGTTTATGTTCGGTGTAGAAATATTAAATAATATGTTTATTGCATTTTTTTTTTCATTGGTTTGAAGTTGCTTTATGATCTTGATTTAGTGTGATCAGATGACATAGTATAAATAAAAAGTAGGTTGTTTGATTGAAGTTTTATCTTAATTAAGTAATATATTAGTTATCTATAATGTTTAAAGTGATTGTTGCCTTTTCTTTCTGCAGCTCCTCTAGTAATTAAAGTTGAGGTAGTTTACCTTGCATCCATTTAGGCTCTAACTAGTTTACTCAACCTTGAACTACTGGTATTATTAGTTGAATTTTAGGAGAATGGTAAGCCAAGCAGTTTTTTCCTTAAAAAATTTAGATGCCATTGCTATCGAAATTGCTATTTAAATAACATTACAGTTTGTCTGCAATAAAATCTGTTACAATCATGATTGTCAGGAACTTATAATTAAAATCTTTGAATGCATATCATGCGTTTTCTTTTCATTATTTTGTTCTTCTTTACTGTAAACATTGTGGGATGCCATTTTATTCTATTGATATGTGTGCTTTTTTTTAATAACAGGAAGTAGCAGTGAAAAAGTTTCTAGACCAAGATTTTTATGGAGATGCTTTGGATGAATTTCGAAGCGAAGTAGGTGAAACATTAACTTCTAGCAATATTTTAGTACTAATTTTCTCACCCTTCTTCCTATTTTTTGTTTGCAATAATAAGCTTTCTTAAGTTTATTTTTTTAGGTTCGAATAATGCGCCGGTTGCGTCATCCTAATATTGTTCTTTTTTTGGGTGCTGTGGCCCGACCTCCTAATCTCTCAATTGTGTCCGAGTTTCTTCCAAGGTTTTATTTTCTCTAATTGTAATCTTATTAAATTTTATTTGCTATAATAAAGAGATTTAATTATCTTTATCAATTATCTTATTAAATCTTTTGGATTGTTTTTATAGTTCTTTCCTCCATGTTCATTAGATGTTTATTTTATTTTGTTCAAATATTTGTACAAAACTTCTAACCACATTTCTTTTTTCTATCCGTTTCCCTTCACATTATCTTTACTTATAGTTGTGCAATATGGGTGTATTCTTTCCTTCTATTATATGTTTTTACGCCACTCAGAGCTAAATTTCACATCTTTTTTCATTTCATGTGATTTTCCAGCTATTGAATATAATTGCTTTTATATGCAAGATGCTCAGGATTAGAGTTTCCGAATCTACTTTAATATGATCACGTGCAAAGAGATCTAATGATTTATAGTTTATAATCCATTAATTAATTCATTTGTAACTTTTTTAAATGCAAATAGCATAACTAAAATTAGAAGTGATTGAAAAAAATCTAAAAAATTCAATTGAAATTTAGAACCATATAAAATCAATGAACAATTGTGATTTAATTTTTAAAATTTGAATTTTCAATGTGGCAAATTTGAATAAAATTATGAGATTTATTCAAGCTAATATTAATTTATATTGTTTGAGTATGAACAACTGGTGAAAGTACTAAAATAAGAAAAATGAAACCTCATGCTGGTAGGAGAAGTTTTTAATTGGAATTAGGTGATTGCACTTGTATAACACTTGAATGAATTACACATGAAACTTAGATTGACAAGATTGAAATTTGAATAGAAATTTTGATAAAGCAGTTCTTCGATAACATTCATCTAATTATTCTACTTATAAGCATCTCATTAAACTCAAAAATCTAAAATGCTCTTCCTTTCATATGAATAGCAGTACAATCATTATAGGATATCCACTGGATAAGCAAGATCCATAAGAAGTATTTCTTGTGATAAGTACCATCGATTGTCCACAGAATTTAGCAATAAGGTGATGTTTTCAGCTACACAAATTGAAATCTTGAAAATTTGCAAATAGTTTGGAGCCAGAGTCATCACTTAACACTGATGTATGAAAGTTCATATGATCAACCCCTAATACAATACATTGCTATAGTATGTGGATAACCTCAAATAGATAACATAAATTACTAGTAATAGATATCCAGACTAAGGAACCATGTTTGACCGCTGTCAAATCAGATTAATACTAATAAAAAAAACTTTGTTAGATCAATACAATAGCTTTTGGCTCACCAAAATCATGAGCCAACTACCAGTTAGATCATTCAGAGTGCACATGATGCCAAGCCATTATGAGGGCCATCCCAATAAATAATTCAAATGTCTATGCCTACAATCCCACATCAATAACTCAATCCATTTTGACTTTCATATTTATGCCATTTTCAACTTGGACGCTAATGATTTTTTTTTGACCATCACTCTTATTTATAAGCATTGTTGGCCTATTTGTAGTTTCATATAATCTATTATTTTAGGTGTCCATAATATTCTTTTATATCATAGGTTGATGCTTGGTATAGACTAATCACTGGATCCATTACTACTAGTGGAGATTAGTGGTGCAAATGAGTAACGAGCTCATGAGCCGAGCTTATGGAGCCACAAGCTCGGCTTTTTTATTAAACAAGCTCGAGCTCGAGCTCGAGCTCGGCTCCTTGGCTCGCGGGCCTGCTCGACTCGTTGGTTCGGGAGCCGGCTTCTATCACTATTTATTTCGATTTTTGGTGAGCTCCCGCTGCCTCCTTCTCTTCCGGCTAACAATTTCTTCTTCGCGAGCTCCCGTAAAAATTGACAGTCTGAGCTCGTGAGTCGGCTCGCGATCTGATTGCTACCAGTACTAGCCGAGCTTGAGCTCGAGCTCACACTTTGCCAAACGAGCTGGGTTCGAGCTTGACTCGACTCGTTTGCACACTTACTGGAGATTGATTATCTTATATTTTATTTGATTTTGTTATTTTTTATGTTATTTTTTATTTAAATTCAATGAGACTATTATCTGAAATACAAGAATATCAAACATAAAAAGTGTTATATTAGTTTGAATTTTTATCTTAGTTTAATCCACAATGGTAAATCACCCATATGGTTTCATAGTGCCACAACATCATCACCATCTCAACTAGCCAGGTCATCAAAGTTCAGAGTCAAAATGAGCATGACCGGTCCCATCTTTTGAGATTTTTGGGTGATTGTTTCATCATTCATCAACTTCATTTAATGGAATTAAAATGTTTTTTATTTTACTATTTTCTCTTTATGTGTCATGTTTATAAATATTATGAAATTTGTAAGAAAGAGTATTGAAGTGAAATAACATTCTTTTGGAGAAGTCTTGTCTTCCTCTTTTGGGAGAGCTTTATGGCTTCTTTAATGACTTCGGAGATCACTCTTTGGTGATAGGTTTAATAAATTTAATTAACTTTAATTTATTTAATTTATATATTTAATTGTAATATATTATTATATCAATAATGTTTTTAGATTAATTAATTATTAATTATTTATTTTATTAATGTAAAATTATTTATTATATATTTATTTTATTAAAGTTTAGGTGTTAGATGTGAAAATACATAAGACTTATGTGTTATGTATGTAAATCTCCTTAAAACTTTAAACTCTCACAAACCTCACTTTTTCTCTGGCCTCACTTTTTCTCTGGCCTCGCACAGTTTCACGTCTCCAGTTTTCGTCTGAGACATGAAACTTTTTGTTATGGCGTGCAAGCATTGAAGACAATGACGAGATCACAACATGCAAGGATCTCATAAACTCTAGTCTCTCCTATATTTTCCTTTTCTATTCTTCTCATAAGTCCGACCTGATTAAAAAATGGTGTTGAGAAAGTAAATTACAATCATTGTAAGTTATATATTTCTCTTTCAATTTTACAAATTTTATAATCGATAAATTAATAGGTGCGATCAGATTTGTAGAATTATTTATTGAATTTTTATATAAAAATTTAGATACTCGTTTGAATTTTACTTGTTTATTAGCTCGTTTAAATACACTTTCACTTGTCATAAACAAATCAAGTTCAAACATTGAAAAACTTAAACAATTCAAGCTTGAACAATATATGAAAGCTTGACACAAACTCAAAGTGAATATGAAAAACATATAATTATACAAAGCCAAGTCCGAACCATGATATACTCTACTCGATTACAGCTGTGTCGCTGCATTAAATAAAAATAATCACCCTCGAACTCCGACTCAAACACTACTATATCCATTGCGTCATAGTTCCTACTAATATATTGATTCATTTTGTTCTTATATCTCCTTTCTTTGATCCAAGGCATTTAAACCTATCACATGTAGTTTTGGTTTAATTTACAAGCAGTATATTAAAATTACTAGTTTGCATTTGTGTGATTTTATTGTTTTTATCAGCATGGCAATATACTTAATTTGGGTTCTATTTGAAGATATTATTTCTATGTGTGACGAGTTGTGGAAGCATTTTCTTTCTATGGCTTTTGCTAAGGAATTAGTGGCTTCATTTGTCAAGTAATAATGCCGTAAAAATTGTTTTTCATCTTCATTCTTTGGTGACTAGTTTCCGTGTTAGGGTTGGTGTAGCTCCAGTGGTGGACAAGATTAGAGAGAGTTATCTTAGATGGTTTGGTTACATTAAACTACATTAAACGTCGACCAGTCGACCATCAGATGATCCTGTTAGGAGAATAGATGTTTTGGATTCCACTTATGTTAAGAAAAACTGGGGTAGGCCTAAAAATATTTGGGCATATTGTATAAAAAAATGTTCTTAATCTGTTAGAATTAAATAAAAATATGACACCTAATAGGACACAATGGAGAAAAAGGATTCATGTAGCGAACTCCACTTAGTGGGATAAATACTTCTTGCTAGTTGCTGTTGCTTGCATCTGATATTTTTGCCTGTTGGGAGACAGAAGCTTCCATCGGAGTTATCCTTTTTTGATACTTTATAAATAATTTGATTCATTTTTTTTTTTGGCAAATAGAAGCTCTGACAACTTATTTTTGGTTGCTTACTGAAAGATTTTGATCTATACCCTTTATTCTTCATCTTTCTTTTTTTCAGTTTGTTTAAGTTGTCCTTAGTTATATGATTTAAATCCATTGAATAATTACTTTGAATCAAGGTTTCTAACAATGGCCTGCTTAGTATTTTCTCTCCAATTTTCATCATTTGTGTCTCTTTTCCAAAATAGTTTTAACATCTTAATTTACATTAGAAAAAACGTGTAATATCTGCTTGGTTTTCCATTCAGAGGAAGCTTATACAAGATTCTTCATCGTCCTAATTGCCAAATTGATGAGCAGAGGAGGATCAAAATGGCGCTTGATGTGGTTTGTCTGCTTGCTCATTTGTTCCTTCCTCATGCCTCTGTTACACTATTTCTATTAAGTTTACATCTGTAACACTGCTGTTTTCTTTCTGCAGGCTAAAGGAATGAATTGTTTGCATACTAGTGCTCCAATAATTGTTCATCGAGATCTCAAATCACCAAATTTGTTGGTTGACAAAAATTGGACCGTAAAGGTAAATAGGCTCATGTCCGAAAACTAGAAAACTTTTCATGTCACGAGCTTTTACTAATGGAATCTATTTATCTTGATGTTAAATGTAATTTTTTTCTTTCTGTACTTTCATTGCTTGGCCATTAGCTCTTTAGAAAATGCATTATTGTATGCCATTAGGTATAGACGTGTTTCTTATTGAGATTATGAGAATTGTGGGAAATATTTTGTTAGCTTGATTAGCAAATACATTGAATGAAATCTTACGGACTACGAGAGTACCAATTTGTTGGAGAAAAAACCTTTTGTTAACATTATTTTAGAATAAATTTTTTTAGGATGATGATTAAAATAAGAATTAAATATGAATTATACAATGAGTCATGGTTATATAATAGAATACTGTCTAAAAAACTCACATCTTTATTGAAGCCAATAACAATAAAATTTAGTGTTGGCAAAGGATAAATTTAAGATGTTTGTGTGGCAACGTGAAATAAATGGTTATATTCAAGGTATTATGACATTAAAACCTACTAAATCAAGGAAGTGAAAAGTAGACTTGGGGCTCATTGATCCTCAAGTAAGATGAGTAGATACATTTAATGTGGAAGCATCAGGCAAAACTGGGTTAGATTAAAGACAAATTGATTATAAATTATAAAATAAGTGTAGAATAGCCTTAATACCTCATGCAATTCTCACAAGAATTTAAGGAGAATGCGTTCAAAAAATGAATCAAATTTGGTGATGATTATTAGGTGCATGAAACGTTGAAAATGCATTCGTCTGCTACTTTTGTGAAATAGTTTAATAGTTCTCAACTTACTCTATATTTGCCTTTACCAAGTGTGCTTCAATATGAAATTAGTTGACCAAAGTCGAAGCCAATTTTAGAAAATCTTTGAAAATTGCCTTGGATTATTTCAGTGTAAACCACACTTTCACAAGATACCAATTGAGAAGAGACTAAAATTTGATACTAACTGATTGATGTAAATATATAAATAAGCTAGTTAAATGGCGGAGTCGTAAGGTGAAATTTTACTTATATATATTGTGAATTTTTACTTATATATATTGTGAGGCAAGGCAAGGTGAGCTGAGCCACAAGCCTTAAAATTGAAAATATGTTTAAAATATAAATAGAAAACATTGAGCAGGTGAAATTTGAAAATCTAAAGTCCTTAACCATATTATTTATATTCTAAGTTCATTTGACACAAACATGTACAATCATCCAAAATATGATGTCAAAAAAAAAAAAAAAAAAAAGGCGAGATGCAATCAATATAAGGCTTTGGATGAGCGGCTAGATGTTAAGGAAAATAAAGAGTGGCAAGAAAATATCTAGTGAAATGAGTAGAGATCTGTAGATGGATAGGGTGCTAAGGTGATGAAGGTGAGACGAGCTTAGATCTTCATTTTTTTATGAGCTTGTAGGAGATAAATCAATTTTGATGACTAAGCTATTTAGAACTTAAAACATACATAATATTTTATCTTTTTTTATTTAAATTGATAGAAATGATTTTTTATAATAGTTTAGAATTTTGAAATTGACAATACTGTTTAACTTATGTAAATTTATGGGACCTTGCTGACAAGTTTTAAATGGCGAGCCACAAACACCCTGGCATCTTGCTTTGGCCTATAGAGCATATGCCCCACAAGCTGAATACCTCGATTGTCCAAGGACAATTCAATTAGAGGCCAACTTTTTAAGATTTTGTTGTAATCCCATGATAGGGGGCCTAGAACAGATTTTTAAACGTTTAAGAAATACTTCTGGAAGTTCCCTATTGATCCGTTGATCAATTAAAGGTACCTTGAGTATTGTTATATGGTGTAGGTGGCTTTTTTGTTTTAATTTGATCATCTTCTTTCTGTTCCAGTGAACCAATTCAGTTTTCTAATTTTGCTTATTTACGGGACAGTTGGCTAAATTCTTTTTTGAACTTGCTAGGACTACAACCAGGTTCTTTATTTTGAACTAATTTCAGCAATTGTCCTTCGATTTCTGCATCTCATTTCTTGAAACATTTGCTTGGACATATCTATTGTTCTGGAAATCAAGGCAACCTTTGGATTCTTCTTCTGTATTGTTTTCCTTTTTCTTGACAACAGTTTGTTTATCCTTCTGCGCTCCTATATTGGATCGAGTTCTTTTTGTAGTAAGTCTCAGCGAACACCTAGAAATTAATCTTGAATTTCCCTTTTTTCTTGAATCATGGTTACATCAAATCATGTAATGTGTTTTTTCTCTCTTAGTGATCAAGCAATTGATTGTACCTATAGAATCATAACGATGGATTTTTGCATTACCAATTTCAAACATAAATGTATATTGTTTATATGAATTTAAATAATTACAAAATTATTTTGAAGTTTCAACGTTTATAAATATAGTGTGAACATTGACATCTTGATTTGTATGTCAAGTAATTGTGGTGGGATTTTGTGTGACTTGTGTATTATTTTATAGTTACCCACCTATTCTTAGGTTTTGTTATGTTCAACAACTTGATATAATTAAGAATTTGATTTTTTATTCATAATTTTAAAACATTCCCATGGTTTTATTCTATATAGCACATCACATTGCATAGTCTTGTTGTATTGATTTGCATGACATTTGGTTTACATAAAAAATTCATGTTATTTTTATGCACCACTTTTATACAAATGTCATAACATATATGTTGCACATGACATTACATTGTGACTTCACTATAATGAGCATTTGCATTATTCATTTGAATCTGTATACTAATACATATATTTTCTTTTGTGTTCCTGGAAAGTTGAGATTCATTTGTATATCAACATCTCATAATTACTCAATTAAGGTCGAGGTTTAAAAACTAGGTTCAATTGGTTATAATACCAACTGAGGTACATAAGTTTATGTTTATCATTGGTTGCATACACTGAGGACCTACTTTTAATTTTCTACCTTGAGTCACATAAAGTCTGGAGTGTCAGTCCAGAGTGTCCCTCTCCTTAGAATTGTGAGTGTGAAACTATTTAATTTTGTAATCGATGCCTTCCACGAGTCAATCGTTGATTTGAATTGCTTGGTTTTTAATTAATGAGATTCCAATCTATCTTGCATGTTGTGAGCCACAGATTATTTGGGTCATGCATCATCTATTTCTAGCTAGACATCATACTCATGACCATGGCTCTCATTGATGAGGGGTTTGGACTCTTATGTGTTGCCAAATATGTATGATAATAATAATAATAATATGCCTGAAATTAGTAAGCATCAAATCATATTATACTTAAGTATCTTATTAAAATATAAAATATGTTAAAATTTGAATCATAAAAAGATTTTGTTCTAATCCTCAAGTTCTTTTTCATCACCAAAATAATTTTCATGATAAAAGAAATGAAATAAAATATAATAAAAATGATAATTAATTTTCAAATAAGAAAACTAACTTTAAATTTTAAGCAATGCTTTAAAATTTAAGGAATTCAAATTAATTTAGATTATCTCAAATTACCATAGATGTTTCTTTTATGTCATTTGAGAATTTAAAGAAAATTTACCATAGCTTATAAACACTGCCGTTGCCGGTCCCAAGTCCGGATGCGAAAAGTGGAGGGTTGCGTTAGGTAGTCGACATCCAGCGTAAAACTTGTCGAAAAAAAATCTTGACATGACTCCTTTTGATCATTGTGTAAGTGCTAGGGCGTCCCCTAAAAGCGACGCGATGTATAGCCTGAATACAGTGAAAAGTGTGCAAGAGCCGTTACACCGGTGCCCGGGTGTAGTGTTAAATAAGCAAGGGTTCCCACATTACAGGCGAATGCGGGTAAAGAAGTTAGTCCATGAAACTAATGAAACTAATATTAGGATAGGATCTTGGAATATAGGCACTCTCAATGGTAAATTAATGGAATTAGTTGATATTAGATTCATAGGAAAATTAATATCTTATGTATTCAAGAAACTAAGTGGGTGGGAGAAAAGGCTAAGGAGATTGATAATTTAGGTTTTAAACTTTGGTATTCTGGTAAGAGTCGCACTAGAAATGGTGTAGGTGTAATTATAGATAAGAGTTTAAAAGATAATGTTGTAAAAATTAATAGAGTTGGTGATAGAATTATAGCCCTTAAGATTATCATTGATACTAAGATTTTTAATATTATAAGTGTTTATGCTCCTCAAGTAGGTTTAGATACAGAGTCTAAAGATAAATTTTGGAATGACTTAGAAGACTTAATACAAATGATACCTCTTGAAGAAAGAATTTTTATTGGAGGAGATTTAAATGGACATGTCGGTAGAGTGGTAGAAGATTTCAGAAATATTCATGGTGGCTACGGTTTTGGAGTAACTAATGAAGAAGGTAAAGTTATTTTAGATTTTGCTTTAGCGTTTGATTTTGTTATTACTAATACTTTATTCAAGAAAAGGGATGAACATCTTATTACTTATAAGAGTGGATCTAATAAAACACAAATTGATTATTTTCTTATGAGAAGAAGAGATC